GGGGGGGGGGGGGGGGGGGGGGGGGGGGGGGGGTTCTATAGATATGTCCAATACTGTATATCCATAGCTTACAGCTATTTAATTCAATAAAAACATACAGATATATGTATGTATGTTAAGAGGTATTTTTTCAGACTTCAATTCAATGTATGTGAGCAGGTAACTTTAAGTTTTTAATTTAATAAAAACATACGGTGAAGTACAAAAGTGTTTTCAAAACTAATTATTCGCAATACTCACAATGTTTTTTCATCTTAAATATTTTGTGATAACAATTTATAAAAACATATTTTATATTAAACAAAAACCAATCAAAGCTTAGAACTTTATGCAAAATTAAACAAGACAGCAAATTTTCATCATACTTTTGAACTTTTTAATCAGAATGCTTAGAAAATGTTTGGGTATGCAGTTTTATAGGTCCCTTAGTTTTGTGTACACTTTAGTCACTCACCGTATGCACATAAGTATGTAGACAACTTTATGAGTTTTTATTGGCCATGGCTTGTGAAAAGGACAATATTGCACTGGCCATATTGTTCATAGAATTGGAAAAGTGTTCCATGCATTTCAGAGATTGTTCTCTGAATTTTCTCTCTTCCTCATTCCTTTCCTTGATAGATGTCATCATTTCTCCGAACATCTTATCCGAGGTTGTTTTTCGGTGAAGTGAAGTTGCCGGAGTCTCATTAAGTGGGTCCGTTGATTCAACAGAAGGACTACCGGGATCGTAAGAAATTAGTATTTCGGTCTAAAAAATCAAGAAAGTGTTATTTTTGCGTATACATACATACATATGTACAGTGCGTTAAAAATTATAATATCACCTAAATTTTCTGAGACAACATGCAATCCTTGCTGAAAGTTACAATATTTGCTAGGAGCAATCCTTGCACATGCATATTTAAGTTACACTGTATTATTTTATGATAAAAAAGCTTTTCACTTAAAACCATGGACAAGGATGTGCTTGACATGCCAACGGTGGCTAAAGTCATCAGTGTTATCAAAGTTACCGGATAAAGTGTAAAGAAGTTTAATCCTGATGACATTGACGGCCTATGCAACTTCACTACATTTACGTTACTAGGTCACAAGTTATAGCAGAAAAATTAGGTGAGGTTATCATTAACTAAAACAGTATGTGTCAATTACCTCGGCACCAACATTTGGAATATCAGCCATCCCATCAACAACGACTGAGCCAAGAGTGTCCAATGCCCGCTGGTCCCTCTCCGTAACTGCCTCTTCCAAGCAGGGACCTCCGCCCGTCACCAATCGATCGGCCTTTGCCTTCCTAGCCCTGGATCTTACTTGATTTTTCCAATGGGCTAGAGACTGAAATACAAATAATGTTCCAACTCTTATAACAACAATTTGGTAATATGATTTAAGATTTACCTCTTTCCATTTATTCGGAGTGCGTATCGGCCCTTTAAGAGCGTTAAGTTGCTCTGCTAGCTCTATCCACAGCTCCTGTATCCTTTTTGGCCGCGTCGGGTCATTTTTGTTGAGCTGCAACTCAGGGTGGCTCCGCATAAACGCCAGGTAGCACTCTATTTGCTCCTTGCTTGTGCGCGTTGTCTTTTCTGTATCTGTAAAATAAAAATACCTTATTTTCAAAGAAATTGAACAAAATAAGAAAAACTAAATTTATGTACAATTACTTACCTTCATCGGCCATTTTAGTTGAATGCACATAGTGATGAATACGGCATTAATCGATTGCTCACTTTTCTGGCCTTTATATATTCTCCCAGAAAATCGATTCAGATAAATTGCCTATAAAACCAAATGTCTAAACATTTTCTTATAAATTCTTTGTAGTTATCATATTCTTTATATTTCTAATGTACGATTTTGCTTTAAAAATGCGTTTAAAAACCTATTTTTTTATGTAATCGATAAATGAATATTTGTTGAACTATTTTATCATCCCAATTGGAACATGCTATCAGCTGATTGTCTCTGTTTGTATTCACCACACATTTTTGGTGAAATTTTTGTGACTCTCTCTTACTGAATACCAAAATTGTCTCAAGTCACAAAAAAAATCACAAATTGATAGTCTCAAATTTAGTGACTTGAGATGAGACTGAGTTACTGAATACAGCCATTAGTCTCATCTCAAGTCACTAAATTTGAGATTAGCGTTAGTGACTATTTTTGTGACTTGAGATGATTTGGCTATTCAGTAGGAGAGAGTCACAAAACCTTCACCAAAAAT